ATTCAAGGTTTTCCCCTCTCAAAAGCATAATCCTTATTCCATCCAGAATTCACAATACACCCTCTCCCAATTGGTCTCATCCCAAATCCCATGTCTTTGTCTTATGTACCCAAGGTAGCTCATCCAAAAAGTAGCCTAAAAAACTATCTTCTATCTTTATCGTGACACAGCCTTAGTCGGCCCTCTTTTCACTTCCTCCTTAGCAAGCTTGCTCATACTATACACGTTCTCGTCATTCTCATGTCTCTGCAGACAGAAAAACAGCGATCCTTTTCAATGCTAAGTCAACACCTCGTTCCTATTGCTGCCTTGCGCCTCGTCTTGCCGAGTTCCTTGTCCACCCCGTTCCTTGGCAGGTTTCCTAACCCCCAGGCCGTAGGTCTCAATCTATTTTTTCATCCTTATAATCTTATGCAACTCTGCCTCGTTTAAAAAATCCAGTGGTGTGGCTTCCATCCCTGCCCTTGCGAGTTCCCGAGTCTTGATAATCCATTCGTGCCTGATTACATTGGTCCATTGCTGAAACCAATGACTGGGCATTGGCCCCAACTCGTCCTCCCATCTGAAAGCCCCATCGCCCAGTTGGTGCATCGGAGGCCGCCCCTCTTCCCTAGGCCTTGAGATCTCATCCCTCTCATCCTCGCTGCTGATTTATATGACTTGTCGCACATCCTCCTCCTCGTCCCCCTCGTCTTCAGTCTGTATGGGGCTATACTCACCAGCAAGGTTTTTTGGATCGTAGGTAAAAGGGATCTCTGTCCCCGTCCCATACCCCTCGCAACTACCGTGACCGCTTCGTCCTTCAAGCGGGCTCTCCCTTTTTTCCTCGTCCTCCTCACGTTCATCGCGCATACCTTGTCCCCCCTCGCTTTCCCCATGCCAAGTCTCACGTGGTTCGCCCCTGCTGGCCCCTTCCTCGTTAGAGACCCGGGCCTTATCACCCATTTCTGTGTTGCCTCTTTCTTCCAGATTTGCCCTTCCCTTTTCGCCCTCACTGTCAGATGATATTTCTATACCTTCCCCCTTGCGGAGGGGTGAGGGTTTCCTACACAAGCATTTCCTTCCACCCCTGCCTACCACTGGCCCGCCCATGAGCCCAATGTACAATTTTCTCTTCGTTATCCTCCTCCCTTGGCTTGGTCCTGCTTCTTCCCCTCCGGTAGACCTGTTGATCGCCCCGCTGTCGTTCTCGTTGCCGAATTCCATTTTTATCTTTTCTCGTTTTACTCCTAAGCCCTGTATAGCAAAACAACACCCGCAATGTCCCTCACACACTCGCGCCTCCCCCCCCCTTAGGCCGGTAGACATTTCCAAAATGCACCCAGTATCCCTCGCACCACGCCCCTTTTATACATGCGATTGCGTCGTTTGTGATGACCCCATTTTTTTCCCGTAAGAAACTATGGTACAATAACCCAAACATCCCTTCCCGTTATCACACCAGCCAGATATTGCAAACCCCCAAGTCATGCTGCCTTTCAACCTCAGTCAGTCCAAGCCAAAGCGCCAGTCCCCAAAAAAAATGACAGTCCCACGAACATGGTCAGAGACAAACCATTGTATGGGAAAGGTTGTGATCAGTCTTTAGCTTGTGGCTCCTCTGTTTTCTTATCTTCGGCCTCCTGAAGCCATTGTTCCACTGGGTGCCGACTTAGAAACCTGACCAGTCGTTGCCCTGGGAAGGGCCCTTTCAATCCAGTTCCATCCAAATCTTCCAGTTCGAAGGTGTTCAGTCTCACCCGCTTGGCGACCCGGTAGGGCCCTTTGAACCTCCTTCCCAACTGTCCCGACCAAGTACTTTCTAGTGCCGAGTTCCTTACCAATATCATCTCCCCCACCTGAAGTGGTTCCTTTCTGACATTCTTAACCCGTTCCCACCTTGCTTTGTCCCTCATTCTGTTGTCCAACACCTGGCTGGCGATGTCTTCCATAACCTCCTCATTCTTAAGGATTTGTTGACATCTTGCCTCGATTAATTCTTCAGTGGTCATTTGCGGATCATCATCTAACCTGTTCCAGGTAGGTACCAAGGCTTCCACAGGAAAGTCGATCTCTCTTCCGTACCAAAGCTCTGCTGGGATACACCCTGTTGTCCTTTTAGGAGTCATATTCTCTGCAAAGACAACCTACTTAAAATACCTAGGCCAATTCCCCAGATGGTCTGCTGCGAGCTTTGCAATTGTATTCTTCAAGGTTCGGTGCCCCCTTTCTACATGTGCATTGGCCTCAGGGTGATACGGCTCGATGAGTTTGATCGGTACGCAGAGTCTCTTAAGCATCCCCAATACTTCTTGGTTCACAAATTTCGTTTCATTATCTGCTATAAACTTCCTAACGAACGGATGCCTTAAGTAAAAGTCTTCTATGCAGTCCGCCACACTCCTCCCTGTCTTTTTCTTGAGGGCGACGGCCTCCACGAACCCACTCAAGTTGTCTCGCGCATCCAGGATATACCTGTACCCATCCGTTGATGCAGGCATGACCGCAAGGTCGAGGTGGACCAGATGTCCCGGCCCTAAGACCCGCGTTGGTCTAAGTGGCTCGAAGACCCGCACCGAGCTTCGTTCTTGGCAAATAAGGCAAGTCTGGCAGTATATGGCGACCATGCCTGCCATGCCTGACCAATAATAGAGAGGTGTTATCTTTGCAAGCGTTCCTTTGGACGACTGATGACCTCCAGCTAACCCGTCGTGTATTGCCTAGATAACGTCTACTTGCCTAGGTCTTCCGAACACAACCCTTCTGGGCATAGCACCTTCCTCCCTTCGGAACAAATGCCCGCCCCTTAGGACGTACCTTTCGACTTCTTCCCTTGCTTTAATACTGACTTCCATAGGTTGTTTGTTTCCTACCAACAACAATCCGATCTCCCGAAAGAGTCCTTCGTATGATTGGACATAGAAAAACTTATCCCCGTCCTGAACCCCATCCTTTCCTTCCTGCATCTGATTTACCACCCATTGCAACTCTTTCCTTTCCGAAGATTCCACTGAGCTCATCACTGCTTCCCGGCCTCCTTCGACTGCCATTGCTATTAGCTCCTCTTTCGGTCCTACTATCGCTCCCCATGAGTCATTTTCTTCTCTGTGTCCTCGAGTGGTGACTGGTCCTTCTGTCAGTTCTGCTATTACGGCAGGTGCCCCCTTCTCCAAAGTCTGGATCAATAGTTCTCCCGATGTGCATCCCTCACTCATCATTTCGTTGTCCACCGCGAGAGTCTCTCCTTCGTATTCGAGAAAGACGTCAATGGGCTCTGCATCCTCCATCCCTTCGGGAGTGATGCAAACCCGACTCAGCCCATCTGCCTTGTTGTGGATTCCAGCAATCCGTTCGATCTTGTAATCGAACTGCCAGATGAATCCTACCCATCTCCCTACCGTCGGATATATTGGCCTGTAATTCTTTAGAGCCCCTGCGACATTTGTCAGATCGATCCTTAAGATGAACCGCTTCCCAAATAGGTAGGCTTGGAAGGTCTTAAGGCAATGCAGGATGGCTAGGACTTCCTTCTTGAATTGCGAGTACCACCGTTCTGCGGAGTTCAGGGTTCTACTTTCGAACCTAATCGGCCTCTCTTTTCCTCCCTCATCCCTTTGAATCAACACACCTCCTACAGCCAAAAGTCCTCCATCCGTCTCTAGGATGAAGGGTCGTCCCACTTCGTCATTAAAACAAGGCGCGGACAGGGCGACTGTCTCAGATGTCAATATGTCCTTGAGCCTTTGGACAGCTTCTTCTCGCTCCTCCGTCCAATCCATGGTTCCTTCTTTCCTGATCATAGCCCGGATAGGCTCAGCAATCTTGGAAAAGTTCTTAATGAAGATCCTCCAAAAGCCGACTACGCCTAGGAGTGCCCTTACCTTCGTCGTCGTGCGCAGTGGTGTCGGCCACTGTGATATCTTGTCAGTCTTTGCCGGATCCGGCTTCCTGCCGTAAGCACCGCAACGAAATCTTAGTATAGTTACCTCCGGTACTGCTAGGATAGTCTTTGGTCCACTAGCCGTAATGTTGTATACTAGGAACCGGCGGAGTAAGTCCTTGATGTCATGCATATGGTTCCATACAAAACGTCGGATCCCTGGCTGGACTTCCGTCTCGTCCTTTTCCTGCGCGCCTTTGATCGGATTGTCATCGATGTAAGGTTCACATTTTTCTAGAAACATGTCCCCGGCCACGGCGAGCATCCCACGTTGCGATTCTGCCACCGCGTTTGTGAATCCCATAGGTGTCACTTGCATCTGTAGCTGGCCTACGGGAGTGTGCATAGCGGTGTATGGCTTGTCCCGAACATCCAATGGAAGCTGGTCGTACCCTGAGTACAGATCCATCAGGGAGTAAATGCTCCGACCGGCGTGCGATTCTGCTAATAAGTGAGCCTGAGGTTGCGAGCCGCATCCCGGATGGTTACCGCATTAAACTTCTGTAGGTCCTGAATCCACCTTAGTGTCTTGTTAGGCTTCCGAAAGACGAACCACCGATTTGCGTACGGCGATGTCGTAGGCTCCGCAACGAAGGAGTTCATCTTCACTCGGAGGAGGTCTGTTACTTCTCCTGCTATCCCAAACTCATAGAATGACCCCTTATCATTCCAGCACTCATGTTCTACCGTGTGGATTCTGACCGGAGGGATCTACTTCGCATCCAGTCGTCCCTTCTGGTGATCACTAAAGGCAAATGCCAGGTGAAATTCCTGGCAGGTCTTTTTGATCAGGCGGGTTTCTTCTTCCGTTAAGAACCCGTCTATCCCTATCTTCATTGTGTCCGCTACCTCATCTGGTATCCGATGTTCCTCCGTTGCCCTTCTTTCTCGGATCACTCGAAGGACCTCCTCCTTCTTCTCCATAGCCTCTTCCTTTGATGTCCCTAGCAGGATCGAGACCGGTTTTGCTTTCTTCCCTATCGGCTTGTACTTTCGAACACTTCCTTCCGGGATCTTTCTCCTAAAAAATAAACAATCGGGATTGCCCCCGTCGCCTCTACGACTCGTGGTTGAATACTGATTAGTTTCCCATTCAGGCAATATCCCTTTTGCACCTCTCTTTTGAACTTGGCCAAGGTTGCCGAATCCACTCCTACTTTGTGGTACCTGAGGGCCTTGATGAGTTGTAACAGATTGGGGATCTCGAGTGCGATTTATGGCACGTCTATGCGCACTTCTTTCCGTTTGGGCAGGCTAGCACCAAGTTCGACCTCTGACTCCTTTTCCGCTACCATAACACCTAGGACTTCGTCCTCCTGCCTCTTTTTTTTCTGGGGCAGGCCCATCTTAATCCACTCTTTTTTGTTGAATGCTTCCTCAATCATGATTTCTACCCTTTCTCTCATACCCTCCATCCGTGCGAAAGCCCCTTTTCGCGTGCTATCCTCGAACGACGGCGACCGTGTTGCCAGTTTCCCCTTTGGGGGGTCTCCTTCCGTTCCAAGGAGTCGGAGGAGCTCTCCCCTGCCGGTCACAGGGTCCTCTATGTCTACCATGTACGAGCCATCGTGCAAGTGCATGCCTATCATCTCTACGTTCGTGCACCACGGTCTCCCGAAGATTATGTCGTGGTTCATTTCCTCCATTATGGTCATCCGCTGAAACGACCAGATCGATTCCCTCACAGCACACTTCGTGACGTACCCAGTGAACAGGATTTCCCCGCCAGCTCCCCAGATGCTCCCGGTTACTTCCTTGTTTATCGTACATCTCGTGATCGTTGCGAAATCTCTCCTTATGAGACTGATTTCTGCTCCCCCGTCTACTAATGCGTCGGTGTGATGACTTCCGATCTGGATTTTCAATTTCCTTACGGGTAGCGCATGAAAGCTAAGCTTCGTCCCGGGTGGTGATCTCATGACTTCGCTGCCCTCTCGGTCAGGCAAACTCAAACGAATGTCTGCAAAGGCCCTTTCGAGATCCTCCAAGTCCCCGTGACTCCTCTGAAGGTTAGCCACTTCTTGCAGAGCTTCCTCCTCCCTCTCCCCTTCTGGTAATTCGGGGTTGTCGCCTATTTCTACTCGCCTCTGAGTCAACAGTTGTCTAAGCCCCTTAAGCACCCTAGAGCTAGTCTGCATGGTCTGAAAAGACACCGACACCATGGTTCCTAGTAACTTGCTAATTGTGTCGTCGAGCTCAGGCAAGGTCAAAATCGGGATATGATACCTAAACTTTTTCTTAGCGGCGGTAGCCTCGTCCGCAGGCTCCTCTTCCCTAGGCTTCCCATAGACTTTCTCTGGTTCCTCGGCCTCAGGCTCTGCCTGGGGTTCGGAGCTTCCAACGACCTGCTCCATAATGGTGTCACGGTTAATCCTTCTCCCGACCGTCCCCAATCGAGTGGTTGCGTTCACCCTATCACGTTCGTCGCTTTCCAAAATAAAGTTGGTATGCGGTCCGCGCCCCCGGAGTTGATCCCAGATAAACTCACCCACCGGTTCTGTTTCTACGGCTGTTATTTCTAACCCGTTGAGCATGATGATGGCTCGTCGCATCCCTCCTGGTGAGTTCCAGTTCACCCGTTCGCCTTGTGGTCTAAATATCTCCCCCTTTAATGACCGGGTACACCTTCTTTTCAGAATATCATGGTTGAGTTTTGGGCATGCGCGCACATAATGTCCTATCGCGGTGCAGTACTTGCATTGCTCGTTAGCAGGATCTCTTCGTCCGAATCCCCGGTTTGCTACACCTGGTGGAACCACAGCTTCCTGGGGAGGGAGGGCAGGTCGGGATACTTGCACCTGCATAACCAGTAGCGCGCCTTCCATCCTTTCAATCTTATTGTCGACCCCGTGCACCCGTTCATGTAGAATTTCAATCCCCTTTTTTACCTTGTCGCTCGTCCTACCGGTCAGATCTATGACCTCTCCTTCCTTGAGCAAGGCCAACGTCTCCGTTACTACCGTTTTCTCAGCCAGATCCGTTACCGTGCTAAAATCAACATCCCGCGTGTTTACGAACTTGCTCGTCTGTTGGTAAGCTGACAGGATCTTGTCCTTGTCGAACTCGGAGAACTGCCTGAGGAAATATTTGCTCATTATCCGGTCCGTGACCCCGGGAATCCTTAGTGCTAATAGAATAAATTACCGTAGGAAATCATTGTACGTTGCGAAGTTCTTCCTCTGAATTGCCGCTAGGTTGGCCTCCGTTGCCATTTTCTCCGCCGCTAGGTACTTCCTCATCATCACATCCCGGGTCTCCTTCCAAGACCGGCTTGCGGCTACAATGACCATTATGTCCCGTCCTAGGCTTAACGACACATGCTGTCCTAGGTGGTCCATCTTTTCCTCCTCGGTCCACTTTAGTAACGCAGCTAGGTTCTCGTAGTCGATCATGAACTTCATGATGTTTGCTCCATCGAAAGCCAGCTTTTTCTTGGCGTCTACCAGATAGCCTTGATTTTTGTTTAGCGCTCGAGCGAGGGACGACACTATCTTCTTAAGGCCACCCTTGGAGCTGCTAGCCTCGCCTGCCACACTGTTATCCGGACTTTCCTTGTCGGCTTTCTGTCCCTCCCTGGTTTTCATAGTTGCTTCCGGGTCAAACCATCCCAACACTCTTTCCCTAAGGCTCCAAAGTCCTTCGCATCCTCGCGCTACTCCTGGCGTGATCGGCAGGCGGCTAGCCCTACTATCCATGGCTGGCGGAGTCGTAGCCTTTTCTGCTTGCATCCCCGGAGAGTTATCTCTCTCTTTCCTTCTCTTGCTCGATGTTCCCCTACGGTCACTACCTTTATCCCCTCGTCCAGTCCCACCTTGGCTGCCTCTCCGTTCATCCCGGGGCTCCTCCTGCAGAGGACCTTCCTCGTTCCCAGTCATCATTTCCTCAATCAATTTTGCCTTGTATTCCGCGGTCCTCGTGTCTATCTCGGCTAGTCTGCGCCTCGTATCTGAGACCCTTACTTTCTTAGGCATGGTTCCTTCCGAGTTTCGGGGGCTTGTCCTATCCTTATTTCTGCCTTCCTTGGTCCCCTGGGTCCCTTGCCTGCTTCCCCCGGCTTTCCCTAAGCTTTCCCATGTGGAGATTTCCTTCCGGTTCCCTTTGGTATCATCCGGATTTATCGATTCTCTGTCCTTCTGCCCCCCTTCGCTCTGCGCGACACTTCCTTCTAAGCCTGGTTCTCCTTCACTCTTACGGTTATCTGTCTCCTCCTCCGTTGCCATTTTGCCTAGTTCTGCATAAGCCAAAGAATTCCCAGGACACACGCAATGCGAGGTTTTTAGGTTCCCTAGGCTCCCACTCTGTTGCCTTATCTTTATAGTCTCCTTTCCTATCCCCGTTTCCTGATTGTCCTTCCTTAAGGAGGAGCCACAACTGACCCTGCCGCCCAGCCGAGCTATGGACGTGACTGGGTTTCCTTTATCACAAACTCGTTTGTAGTGCCCTTGTCCCGTCGGCCGACGCGAGGGAGTCCGGGTTAGGCATCCTGCTAGGGGAAACCTTCCCGAGCAGCATTTTTTCGTTTTTAACTTTCAGGGTTATGGTCAATCATTATGAGTCTGCCCCCCCCTTCTTTGTTTTTCCACTGGGTTTTAGCCATCCAGGTCCGAGGCCCCTTTCTTATTCCCATCGGCGAACTTCCGTACGCAGCGAACTATACTCAATCTGCCTTATTGACCCACCTGCGGATGCTAATCCCGCTCTCGCCCTCGCGGCTCTTCCGGCTCGGTAGGCTCCTCGAACAGTTGAGCCACCCCCATTAGATAATTCTCCCTTATCTCGATTTCCCTTTGGATTATGCGTTCGCACCCTGTCCTGTCTAGCCGGGGCGCACAAAACATCAGGATGTGGATGACTTCTAGTAATTCGTGGGCCCTGTTTCCCCAGAACGGCCCGTGCTCCACAGCGACATCGTAGAACATCCCAATGGTAGGGGAGGGAAAGTGGCCTGCCTAGACTATTGCTGAGTCTGCCATCTCCCACGCCCTTGCGAGGCTTCCGAAGACGAGGTCTATCATAAAACGGGGCACTCGGCATCTCAGCGGTGTGGTCGGTGCCCTGAACTCCCTCCAACCTCCCATTTCCACCCGGGTTAGCAAGCCCACGTTCCTTCTTCCCCCGACCGATTGTCCTATCCGGGTCAACGTTCGGGCGACCCTTTGAAAGACCGGCGCTAGCTCGTGACCTTGTGCTATCTCTACTCCCAACGAGTGCCAACCGATCTCAGGCAAATACATGGTCCCGGTAACTTCCAGATTAGAAAACAGATCATCTCCGGGTCCTCGGTGAAGTCTCATCCCTGTCCACCGACATTCTACCAACATAAAGGTGGCGTCCCTTCCCAAAATCACGGTCCGCCATCCTGTGTCGAACCCCCGATAGGTAGAACTCGACGGGAGGGATACTTCCCATCGTCCACCGTTGTTCCAGGGCGGTCCGGGATACCGGCGCTGGCGTTCCATTCGCACACGGGGCTGGCGTTCCATTCGCACACGGGACTGGCGTTCCATTCGCTCACGTCTTGCTGCCATTGTTACCTTGGTGATTCCCTGCACAGTCCACATAGAAAGGGTTACAACCAATCTTCGGAATCCGCCCACCTACTGCCTCCCTTGCCCTTCATATTTTCATTTCCCTTTTCTAGTCCCAACTATCCCTCTATACCCCTGGGAGCGGTAGCCTCCTCAGGCTGTTTGTACAGCCGGTAGAGATCATCTATGTAGGCCGCGCCCCGATCTACCTCTCGCCGGATGACTCTCCACATCGTCTCATCACTTATTTGTGGAACTCCTGGCCTAGCATTTACTGCTGCTCTTAGAATACAAAGCACCTCGCGCCCTTGTTCGTCCCCGAAAGGCCCCATCTTTAGGAAGGCCCGATAGTATTCTCGATACATTAGTGCTTCGTCAAAACTTAGCCTAATTACAGCAGTCACCGCCTGCTCCACTCGTTTTACGCCTCTCATTCATCTTAGCAAGAAGGGTGGTAGACTCATCCGTACCACCTCATTTGGCAGCTCAAAAACCCCTGCCGCGGCGACTTTTACCTCAGTCGTCACGTCATCTCGTTCCGGATCTGCAAACTCAAACCCCTCCCGCCAGGTTATTTGCCATGCCCCTTCGAACATTCGTGCGGGGTCATCCCCGGAAGCCAAAGCAATCCCAAAGGTCCGCTATCCCTCTTCCGACAGGTGTAAGGATCCCGTCGCATGTACACGCCCTGGGCGGGTCAAGTCTACGCCCCCGAACTCCCCTCTCGCACGCCATTCCAGCTTCACTACTAGGTACACCGTATCTTCCACCAACTCTACCCCCACCCAGTCCATTACCGGATTGCCTATTGTATTTCTTGCCGGCAGGCTTATTTCGACCTTGCCCTATGATATTCTTGGTGGCAGGATCCCACGAGGTCTATCCGCCCAGAACGTCATTCGCCGGGCCATCTCGCAATGTCTCCTTTCCTACTTTTTTAGTCCGATTGCTGCACCCACCGAGATTTCATGCTTTTCATGTCTTACTCTTTCAACCCTCCCTACTTATCGTACACTGGTTCTTGCCGCTATCCCCAACTCATACACGTTCAATTCTACCCCCTCCCCCCCTCCCCCCCTCCCCCCATTTTTAAGTTGCTGTCACTTCCCCCTTGTTTCGATCCTTATGCACCATCCACGGCCTAATGTACACACTCCCTTTCTTATGTTACACCTCACTTCACAAACACCCTCCATACGCAGGCCTTTTCGCGGTGTCCGACCCCTTGGCCTCATTCAGTCGAACCACAGTACCTCAAATAGTTTAAAGACGTCGTCTACGTAGGAGGGTGCAGCCGCCGCCTCCCGGCTAACTATGGCGTTCCAAGACTCCGCCTCTACCTCTAGGCGGTCATACTTGCCTATTCTCATGACGATGATGACTTCCTCGGCTTTATCTCCGTAGAAGGGTCTATATTTCAATGAGAGCCTATAAAACTCCTCAATCAGCCAGACACACTCCATATGCACCTTTCTCATGGAGTCGGCTACTTCTAAAATGTGCTAAAACCCCCCAAACCACTCAGTTATGAATTTCGGTACCCAAGCCGTTATCCGTAGACTTGGAGGCTTGAGTTCCTTCCATCCTCCCATCACAACTCTGCTACTAACTTCGTCCCATCCCTCGTTGGCGAACAACTTGCCTTCCTTTCGGGTTCGGGCCTCTGCATCCCCTAGAAGCCACATCGGGTCCTGTTCCATTGCTAACATGGTGCAAAATATGTGCCATCCATCCTCGGAAAGAACAATCATTCCAACTGACTCTACCTTGCCTTCTGCTATATCATCCCAATCTTCCTTTTCCCTTATCGGGTTCCAAATCCGCTCTATCCATATATATGACAAGTCCCGGGCAACCTCAAACCCAATCCAGTCGCACGTGGTCCCTTTCCATCCGTTCCCTGTTGGTATAGGCATTTTTATTCCTCCTCTGAGTCGCCGTGGTTCCCAGCCTTTGAAGGGGTATTCCATCATCCTTTCTTCTCTAGTCATCTTTCCCTTTCCTGCACAATACCAGGTCACCCGTCCTTCCTAAGTTAAGTCACCCTACCCCTCTTAGAAGTCTCAGTCCTCTATCTCTTCATCTTCATCCTCATCACTGAAGTCGTCCTCCTCGTCGTACATCAACTCCCTTACCCTATCTAGAAACGTCTCCCCTATTGCCACACTCTTGTAGACTATTCTCCAATGCACAACGCTAGGGACAAAGATATCGTCTATGCTAAGGCAGATTAGTATCTCGGCCAGCTCCTCCGCCTTGTTCCCCTCGAACGACCCCATCTCTACTAATAACCGAAAAAAATCATGCCTAGCGCATTGGTATAGCCCGAGGTTCGTCATGGACTGACATATCCGTACTAGCCTGCTCCGATTTCCGAAAACCGCATCCACTAGGAAGGAGGGCAGCACACATCGCATGGTTCTTACGGGTCGCCTCATGCTCCCTCTATCCCGAAACCCGCACGTCTACCTTTTCCATTTCCATTTCCCACCGCTGACATGCAGCCCACACAACCTCTGCTTTTCCCTTCCTAAACAACTCGTCCGGCGTATTACCGAGTGTCAACTCTATGATCATAGCTTTCTCCCCATCTTGCGACAAGTAGACTCACCCCCGGGCTTCCACTGTCCCTCAGAATTCCAAGTCCATTAAACTTGGTGACAACCTCGTCAAGCTGACATTAGTCCATATTGTTTCTATCCAAAGGAAAGCATCCTCTCCTTCGAGCATTACCGTTTGATACGCTGGTTCAAGGTCCGTCCACGTTCCATTTTCTGGGAGGACGACCGATACCCCATTCTTTACATCTACTAGCATTTCTGGGCCGCTGGTATAGATCGGGGAAGACAACCATCACACCATCTTGTTTTCAGCACCCGACCCCTGTTTTCATAAAAAGACACCAACCGATCCTTTTGGTTAGGTCAACCCTTGTCCTAGATGAGAATTATTTCAGACCCCTCATCAAGGTCTCCCTATTTTACCTCCCCTTTCCTATAATTCCCTCGGTCGGCCATCCATTTGCCCACATTCCTTCTCTTGATTCCATTCCAATTGACCTCTATCCTCCTTCCTTCCGATCATCTCTCACTTGTGCGGACTTAGATGGGAGAGGGAATAGACTTAGAAGATTGTTCGTCCAACAATCCAAGCTCAATCAATTTTTACAGAGGGGGAACACATAAAAGAAAATCAGGCAACCTCACATACAGGCCGGTCATCTCCTCACCGACCATCCCCAATATGATCTCTCCGCTGGTACTATCGGTAGAGTTTTATCCCATATCTCAAGCGCAACTCAACCGTCGCGAGCGCGGTACCCAGGTCTCGGCAAGGCATTCGCCATTTCCTCCTTACCCAGAATACCCCATCCCGACTTGCCGCTCGTGTACCCACCGTTAATCTCGGGAATCACCCCGCACATCCCGGTAGGGCTATTGGAGCCAGTTGTCCAGGCATTCACTTCCATCGGTCCGATAAGGAACAGTTTTTTCCAAGCCATGCTATGAGAAGCTCTCAATCGCCTCTGAGGCTCCTTCCTTGCCCCATATGCAGTGGTCCCCCTGCCGTCTGCCATCAAGCAGCCGCCCCGCCTGAAGAGGTTTCACATCCCACATGGGCAAGATCATCGAGCCATGCTCGGACCGCTCCGATGAGAATGCTACTAATCAGCCGACGAGACCAACCCTTGCCTGACAGTCCGGTGGCTCGACCCCCACACACGGAACCCGGTGAACTTCCAAGAGGACGACCAGCTCGCATCCCGCACCGGCCGGCGCAAACCAATCCTTTCCTTCCAAATGACAGGACGCTCGAAATTCCAGTCATGCATTCACAAGTCCCAAGTGGGACACACATAACACAGGTGCCTTTCCCCTGGTGCACCCAGTGCTTCCTACCCATAACTCACAAATTTTCTCTCAGGACAATGAGTGTCATTCCCCCTACTTTCATACATAGTGGTTGGTTCCTTCTCGTGAGAATCTTTAAGGGTGAGTTAGTTTTCCTTGGAGTCTAGCAACTTCCTTCATTTCCTTTCTCTTCGCTTGTCTGTCCTTTCATAGGGTGGGATTGTTCTTTCCTGATGACCCGTTGTGTTCATGTTGGTTCCTTCAATCATTAAAAAAAGTGCAAAGTGCATGAGCCCGCTGGGCTCAAAAAAGAAGGGGAAAACACCCATTCGGTCGGATCACTCCGCCATGGGATTTTCATTGGAACCTAGCCTAAGCCAAGCACCAACCGCCTGCCAGGTAACCGGAGCCCTTCTTTCATACGAAGAGGAAGGGTCGACCTGCGACTTGCCCAAGGCTTCCCCGGACTGGCGAGCACCAGCACCGGACGAAGGAGGGCTAGAGTCATTCCTCAAAGGAACGACTGATCAAGTGCATAGCATGCATGTTACACCTCCAGGCTTGACCATGCCATGCGCCCAGCCACCCTCAAATCCGATTTCTCACAAGGGAAAGGGCAAACACATGTCTATTTTTCTTATCTTGGGTTGTGTACACGTCAATGCGTCGGGCGCCCCCATCGCAATCGCAAGGGTCAATTTAACCCCATGCCCGTCACCTCCACCAATTTTGTAGGCCCAAACCTCGGTAGACTTTCGAGCCTTAGTCGACCCCACTGCGGGTCCCAGTTAGCTCGGCCTGCCCACACTCATGCTCAGGGCGCGGGCCATTCGTCCCAAGGTCACCCCCACCTAGTGCTTTGAGATCAATGGGGGTGGGTCATCGCGCTAGAGAGCTTTGACATTGGGGATGTAGCTCAACCCTCACGCTGGGTGACAGTCTCGCTGGTCGTTTCCGCAACGCTGATTTCTTTTTATTCTTTATTGTGTTCTCAAGCAATTGCTCCTTCCAATATGCAGGCAGTCCAAGCGTTCTTTGAGCGTTTCTCTTCTCTTGTACGTAGGCTAAGCGTCATTCTTAGGCCACGCACCATTTCCCTAAGCATTTTGGCTATATGGCGTTATCGGGGTGCGGCGGGGCCGTCCTCCCCCTCGCCTCTAAGCATCCATCGGATCTCACAATTTGCTTCCCACCTTATTGAAGTAGGCCCCTTAGTCTTTTCGGGGTCCTCATATGCATGCACACACAATGCACAAAGGAAAAGAGTTTCAACAAAGTAAAGATCCGGAACATGAACTTGACAATGAGACTAGACTAGTGGAAAGCACATACACAATGGAGAAGAGTTCAACAAAGTAAAGATCCGGAACNGACTAGACTAGTGGAAAGCACATACACAATGGAGAAGAGTTCAACAAAGTAAAGATCCGGAACATGAACTTGACAATGAGACTAGACTAGTGGAAAGCACATGCACAAAGGGAAGAGATCAACTAAACAAAGATC